ACGGCCAAATATCCTTGGAAGAAGTATCAATTCACCTCTCTCCCCAAATATGGGTTAAATAGGATTGGTATATGATAATCATTATTATCTCCAAAAATTATTAATTTAATAATCAGTCACAAAAATTCATTCATGCAATCCAAGGATAGAAATTATTAATACATTATTCACTTGGCTTTAATTAACTTACAGAAGGTTGATAAGCCGTAAAAAACATTTAAAAAATTACTCACCCAAAACCCGTTCGTAAATAAAATTTTATTATCTGCTCTTTGAAAATATAAGCTTAGTAAAACTGCTAGACAATTTTTCTTTCTCGACTCTATCTTACATATCTATAAGTCTACCATTCGTCCATGCTTAGAATATTATTGTCACATATGGTCTGATACTCCTGCCATATATCTAGAGATCCTTGATAAAATCCAAAGGAGAATCTGCAATATTATTGGTCCTGATGTAGCATCTCAGCTTCAGTTACTTTCCCACTGCCGAAAAGTTGCCTCCCTGTGCCTTTTCTATAAATACTTTCATGGTAATTGTTTGGTTGAGTTCTTCGCTATGAGCTTAGGCTTTTTGAGTTTAAGCGCAATACCAAACTAGCGATGAGATTTTATTAATTTACAAATGAACTAACTTAATGTGGTCATAAATATTTATGCTAACAGTTTTTTTCTCGCACTTCTAGCTTGTGGAACTCCCTTCCGGCTTCACGCTTTCCAGCCAACTTTAATCTACAAAAATTTAAATGCAATGTCAATCACTATCTACTGTCTTCATAATTACTCGTCTTTTGTTCTTGTTCCTTAATAAAGACGTTTCTCTTTTCTAATTCTTCTACAGCGAGCAACCCCTTGCATCTTAGTGGCTTTATTGCTTTGCTTGGGGTGAAATGATTAAAGATATATCTTTTTCTTCCGTCTTTGTTCACAGTTAAAACGGAATGGTCCATTATTTATTTGTGTTAACGGCACGGCATAATCCGCTAACTTATTAATTAACGGAAGGGAAAAAATCATGAATAAGTAAAAATGTTCGATGTTAATTTACAAGATCTAAATTTACGAAAAACAGCTTGATCTCGTTTCCCAGATGTGCTTGCCCTACTTGTGACCTTTTGGTAAAACTAAGCTAAGATTAATAAATAACAAGAAATTTGAAAAGTCCCATATAATCTTTCATTTTCCGAAATCGTTCTGGTTTCTCTCAGAAAACAGCATTTTTGACTTTCGGAGCCAATAACATGCTGACCCTTTTTCCAATTCTCAGTTGAAGTGATTGCAAACCAGCTGGGACAATATTGACCGTCCAGTCTGAATGACGGTCAAACACTCAATCAGCTGAGAGCTTCGGTCTTTTCCAGTTGAAATAATAGACTTCAATAGTAATATTGACTTCTTCTGTTAAAGGTTAGATCTCCTTGACGTCTATTAATCGTAATTGGGCTATAAAATGGCTTCGCATGGTTAATTTGAGCTTGACAGTGAATTTTGTAATTCGGGTTTTGCCTTCAGGTTTGTCGAAGTCGATTTCGTTGCCTTGATAATCTTTTTCTGGGATTTAAAGAAACTTAAACATACATACATTCGTCTGCATGAATAAAAAAGAGTCCTATCGTCTTTCTTCTTTTATGTGCCACGTTATTTCAGGACGTAGGCGATCATGGCCCTCCACATCTTCATATCCCTTGTAGCTCTTAATAAGTATTGTCTTTTTTGTTATTTTTTCCAAATCCTGTTCTGCTATGCATTTGCTCAAGCCCATCAAGTATGTTACGCGCTGTTTTCTTCTATCTCCCTTTCTCTTAATCTGACCTGTGAGTATCAGATTTTCCAAGCCATCCGTCCTCATTACGTACCCCAAAAATTTCAACTGTCACTGTCTGATGCTAAATATATGTTTTATTTTTTGTTTCCATTCTCTGCTCGTGGTTCTTCATGTTTGGCTCAGCATCTTTTGTATATATATATATATATATATATATATATATATATATATATATATATATGTGTGTGTGTGTGTGTGTGTGTGTGTGTATATATATATATATTGCTAATATACAATACATATATACAATACACACACACATACACATATATATATATATATATATATATATATATATATATGTATATGTATAATTATTATTTTTTTAAATTTATAACATAAATATGTTATAAAATCACTACAAAAATAGCCATTTTGTTTCAACACCCCTGGTGTCTGATCAAGTGATGATGTTGAATGCAAAATAAATGGTTTTAAAAGTTTCAGAAGTATCAAATTAATTAACGATCCTTTAAGTGATTTTATAACATATTTATGTTATACATTTAAAAAAAAAATATAATTATATCTGCTCTACTTTGTATTGGGCACTCTTTTAAGAATAGTAATTGTTGGTTATTGGAATTCATTCCGTATACACCAATTATATACTTGGTAATATATATATATATATATATATATATATATATATATATATATATATATATATATATATATATATATATAAATTACAAAGTGGATAGAATGCAGGTAGAACTCAATGTCCAGGACAGAGTAAAAATTCTTTTTGAATTTGTAGGTCTGATGAATTGGATCGTGATTACGTTTCCAATGTAATAAATTATAACCATGTAATATTAGAGCCTTTTATATTATATATATATATATATATATATATATATATATATATATATATATATATATATATATATATATATATATATATATATATATATATATTACGTGAATCATTCATACAAAAAGTAGATTAGTAAAGTTAATATAAATGGCGAAAAACATCTTCGCAAACAAATTTATTAAGAACTGATCCGACGTGCAAATTTTCGGGATAACAGCTGCGACATTGCTCTATTTGCTGAACAATTTAGTTAATGCCACATCGACTGAAAAAAACTACAACAAAAAAATTCTCAAATTACCATATTAGTAAAAAAAAAACGCACTCTTAAATTAAAAAAAAAATTCAACCTTAGCGTTGCGACTGCACACTTCAAAAGTTTTTATCCGTTAATGATAACACATTTCTAACAAAAACATATATCGATTCGTATTTAATTTTTCGTGTCCGCTATTACCTGGATCTACTAAAAAAAAAAAATTCCATGCCTGAGGATCGCTGAATGTACAGCCGAAAGTACTAGAAGAATGAAAAAGACCTTATACAACTTGAAGTTATTAAAAATAAGGATCATAACATTCATCGAGTAGTTCGCAGGTTAATGTAACTTTAATAAATTTGTTTGCGACGATGTTTTTCGCCATTTATATCATTAACTTTACTAATCTACTTTTTGTATGAATGATTGACGTAAGATAAATTAAACTGCACCACATATTTGATATATATATATATATATATATATCGATAGATAGATAGATAGATAGATATGAATAGGGTGAGATAGATAGATAGATTCATAATATAACGATGAAAGCAAACAGCGATTATTTTATACCAATATCCCTCCTTAATTCAGTAGTGAAAATAAATCTCAGTCAGACATTAGGTGCGATGTGTAAATTGTAGCCACGTTATATTTTTAATTTCGCGCATGCGCATTGTTTGTTTTTGATTTTGTCAGCTGCACATTATAGAAGGATCATTTGCGCAACGTCTGTAAGAAAAAGAACCCAATGACGCAATTCACTCTGCCAGAAATTTGGAAACGGCATTCTATACTGCTTGGCATTCACACTGGAAAGCCCCAATGCGAAAGAGTCTTGGTGGGGGCAATCTGAAGACAAGTGCAGAGGATTCGGAAAGAGTTGGATGAGCCTAATGCTGATTATGCAGGTATGGCAGCTGGGAAAATTCAGTCTGATCGTTCTGATAAGAAAAGAACTCCCGAATTTGTTGGTGAGGGCCTCAGACCCAACCCAAAGGCCTACATCAAGTGCCTTGAAGAGGTAGTTCTGTCCTGGGTCAAGTGGATGGCTGCTGGAGGATCCTATGTCTCTGCACCATACCACACAAATAGAAGCACCGAGTCGTGTCTGTCAGACAATTTCTGCAATCACATAATCCCTTACATCTGGCCACCTAACTCCCCAGACAGCAACTCCCTTGATTATGTGTGGGACGGAGTTGAGAGAGATACCAACAAAATTCCTTGTAACACCAAAGATGAACTGAGGGCAACGATTATGGCAGCCTTAACAAATTTAAACAAGTAGGCCGTCCAGATGAGTTGCAGGAGATTCCAAAGTCATCTGGAGGCCATGGTTGAAGCCAATGTCTATTTTATTGAACATTTACTCTTTACTATTTCAAGATATTTTTGTGTAATTTTGGTAAGTATATTTGTTAAAATGAGATGCCAGTGTTATTTTCATTTTTACGTCATTTTTACGACAATTTATCGCACCCTGTAGACTGAAAATTCAGATAAATATTCGATAAATAATGACATTTCCTTTTGAGAATTTATTGATACAGCGTCGTAATCGAACTTGGTTTTGTCACATTCTTTAAAGCGCCATATTATCCGCCCTTCCCCAGCGATGTAGTACATCCGGTGGCTATCAATAGACGCGTAACTGGTTTTCGTCCTTTTTAAGCCATATGGCTGAAACAGTCGCGTCTTTCTGACCAGTTCCAAAAGCTTATGTTTAGTGACCAAGTAGAAAAATTCATAATTTTGAAACATAACTTTCAAGACTTTGGTGCTACAGAGTCTTCCTTATGTTGCCCTTTTTGACCTGATACTGTACCAAGTTTAACTTTAAATGAAGAAATCTGATATTTTAACAAATTCATCACATAACAACCTCTGCTTAAGAATATTTGTTTTTGGCCATTATGGCTTCTCAGACAATATATCAGTATTAGGATGGTTTCCCCAATTATTTTGTCTCGCCAGAAAATTCTCTCACGAAAACTCGGTCCAAGGAAACATTGTCTTTGTTTTAGGCGAAGAATAGAATAATGTCCAGGTTAACAATGGGACTAACAGCATTTTGTTGCTGCTGCAATGTCTTTCTTTCTTTCTTTCTTTCTTTCTTTCTTTCTTTCTTTCTGTGCCAATTTCTTCTTCATGTCCTCATCCTTCTTTCTTTCCTTCCTTCTTTCTTTCTTTCTTTCTTTCTTTCTTTCTTTCTTTCTTAAGTGATTTTCTTCTTTTCCTGAATATTCTTTTTTTCTTAGTAGATTTCTCCTCTTTCTTTTTGAGGCGTTTTTTTTTTCCTTTCCTCATCTTTCTTTCTTTCTTTCTTTCTTTGCCATTGACCATCTAAGTGGTCAGCTGTTGACCATTGAAGCCACTACGATTCAATTACACTCTTAACGTAAGCTTTTTGAATTTCCTCTAAACATCTGCGTTCATCATTTTTCCACCAATATTACACGGACATTTTTCATACATCTGTGTTTCCTCTCTCTTGTACTTCCTCTCTTTTTGCCATTCTTTTTCTTCGTTTCTTGTTCCTCCCCTTCACTATCCACCCATCTGTGTGTCTATCTGTCTGTTTGGGATTCTCTCTGTATCACAGACCCTTCTCTTTTTGGAACTTCTCTCTCTCTTTCTCTTCTTTTACACTGTCTTTATTTTTTTTCTCAACTCTCCTGATTTCTTCTCTATTTATATTTGCCTTTCGCCTTTTTTTTTTTCTAGATTTAATCAGATGATTTTCTATTTTTCTCTCCACTGAGTCAAAAAATCGTACAAATCTCAACTTTGCGCATGACATCCTCCGATTTGGCAACTGTTCCTTTTTTTATTTTCGTTTCAATTTCGTATCTTTTCTTTCAAATTTTCGTATCTTTTCTTTCAAATTTTCGTATCTTTTCTTTCAAATTTTCGTATCTTTTCTTTCAAATTTTCTCTTTCTTTTTTCAGTTCATTTTCACAGATTTTTTTCATTTCTTATCTCTGCCTCCCTTTTACTTCTCTCCATCCCTCCTCATCTCTCCCTCTCTCTATCACAGCCTTTCTCTCTCTCTCTTTATCTCTTTCCATACCTCCCCATCTCTCCCTCCCTCTCTTACTCTCCCCTCTTCCTCTCTTTCACCCTTTCTCCATCCTTTCACGTTTCTCTCTCGCTCTCTTACTCTCTCCTCTCTCTGTCTTTCACTCTCTATCTATTTATTACTCTCCCTCTCTTACTCTCCCTCTCTCCATGTCTCCCCGTCTCTTCCACCCTCTCTTACACTCCCTCACTTTAACCCTATCTCTCTTACTCTCCCTATCTCTCCATCCCTTCACATTTCCCTCTCTTACTCTCCCTTCGCCCTCTCTTTCACGCTCCCTCTTACTCTCCCTATCTCTCCATCCTTTCACATTTCCCTCTCTTACTTTCCCTTCGCCCTTTCTTTCACCCTCCCTCTCTTACTCTCTCTCTCCTCCTCTCTCTTTCTCCACTACTGTTTCCTTTCGATGTTTTTTTTCTTCAGCCCCTTTTCTCATCTATATTCCTTTACTTTCACTCATCTAACCGCATCGAATGTCGATAGAAATCCATTTCATCGATCCGACCTTAACAGAAAAAAAAAAAAAAACACCCGCTACCTGAAAAACCACCCCCGCCACGCTTCTACATATTCTAACTTTTCCGAATCATCCCCCGAACCTCCTAACATATCACCTGACACCCTTTTCCCGGACACACACCCCAAAACGAGATTCCGCTTGCGTGCGAATGTTGAAGTGCTGTCTCTTTCGGAGTTTACCTCCGATTATCTTGTCTAAGTTATGCCGTCCAATCGACCGGTCGACTTACACAGGACAAAGCGAGTGTAAAATCATCTGCAATATTGCGAACCGAGGGTGGGGGTGGGGTGGGGGTTAGAGTAGGGGGTGTGGATAGTGGGGGATCGGTAGGAGACAAAACCGGGAAACACGCTGACTTTTTAACGATTTCAAAGCTTATGCATTGTGTGGGCGTTTCTAGCTATATTTCTTACGGTATCCGCGGGTTTGAAAAAGCGTAGATTCGTACAATACAATTTTAAGCTCTTGAGGCAAAAAAAAAAAAAATAAAATAAAATAAAAGAAAGAAAGAAAAAGAAAAATGAAAGAAGAAGAAAAAACGAAAAAAATGATCTGATCAACTGCCAGTTGACTATTTCATAAAATAAAGTAATATTTTTATTTTCGAAAAAATGTCCATCTAAAAAATTAAACTGGAAATGACTGATCATCTAAAATCCTAAGTGAAAACATGAAATCAGGAATAGAAGAACATGTATGTAAATAAAATTGCGCTTACCAAGAAATTTCGAACTAGGGAAAATTATCGTTAGAGAATTTTATCTGTAAAAATTAGCTGTAAGTATAATTTTGTGTATGAAACTAATAAAATTCAGTATATATTGGTAGCGCAACCAAAATTGGCCTCATATTCTGTGAAGATGCTTTCTCTTCGTACCCTGAACTATTATCTTTGAAAAAAAAACGAAGCATATTGGACAAGGTTTTGCCTTTAACAATATACATCTTGTTCAATTGAAATTTACTCGTTTTTTATTGAGAATTTGAAGTTTTCTCGTACTTCTTGCATTGCAGTCAAATTTGATCTGAATTTAAATGCAGTGTCAATCGCTATATTCTGTCTTCTTAATTTCACTTCATTTATTTTTCTCTACTTACATTATTTACATTATTCGAACTGATATCCTCATCTTCATTGCCATATTCACAACGTTTTGGCCGTTGTATGCTCCGGCCTTTATGTCTGTGTCTCTCTATATATCTGTCTATATCTCTGAGATGAGGTATTATGATTACTTGCATTATTTAGATTATTCGGACTGTTATCCTCATCTTCATTGCCATATTCATTGCCATATTCACATCTCAGAGATATAGCCATCCTCTTCCGCCTCACCTGCTACCCTCTTCCGCCTCACCTGCTATCCTATTCCGCCTCACCTGCTATCCTCTTCCGAAGCACCTGCTATCCTCTTCAGCCTCACATGCTATCCTCTTCGGCCTCACCTTCTATCCTCTTCCGCCTCACCTGCTATCCTCTTCGGCCTCACCTAATATCCTCTTCCGCCTCACCTGCTATCTTTTTCCGACGCTGGACCACATAAAAAAGGTTAAAAGTTTCTTACTGATGTGCTGTTTACCCAGAGGTTATTGTAGATATTTGTCCATACCTCTTCTGAACTCTCTCTCTCTCTCTCTTCCTCTTTTCCAATGTATCGCCTCCATTTAGATCGTAATTGATTGTCCGTCTCCATAACTTTCTTTTTTTTTTAATATTACCCATTTCCCTGTTGTTTGCGCGGAAGGGAGATGGATTTATACCTTTTCCTTTAGACATTTGAAACTGTATTATTCAGAATATGAACTCCGCTTGACACTTCTGAGCCACCCACACGCCACAGTTTCATAGGAACACCTAACAAAAAGTGACGCCGCAGAAATGTCTCGAAATCACCTATAAAAAAGATTGCTTGATTTGTTTAACGGTATATCAACTCATTTATGGGTCATTTCATGCCGACATTTAATTTTCTTGTGAGCTTTGAAGTAATAAAAATATGATATATGTCATTCTGTTTTCACAATTGAATACATGGTAGATGATACTCAGATTTTCTGCATATACATATTTGAGTGGACATATTTATAGAGGTGGTGGTGAGCGTCTTTTATGTTGTAGTTTTGTTGAAGTTATATTTTGGAATACAGTTTGATTCGTTTAAGAAATTGTAGGATATTATATGGATTAATGTCATGGAAGTGTTCTTTCATGTTGGTTGGTTGATATTGTTTAGCAACATATCAACACCTTTATGGGTCATTTAATGCCGAAATCTAAATATTTTGAAGGCAACTGTAGGCTTTCAACTACAGATAAAATGTATTTTTGGTCATCTTATTATAAAACGCAGATTGTGTGTGTGTGTGTGTGTCTGTACGTTTATATATTGGATCGGATTTCCTACATTTTTCAACTGATTTCCACAAAACTTCAAAGGACTACGTAAAATTACCTTGCGGTTCTGTGGTTCTGACAGCGCCAAAAATTGGAAAAACACAATTGTTTTTGCACGGAATCAATTTGAAAACACGATTCTGTCGCCAGAATGAAAGGGGACAACTCATATCAAATTATACTTATAAAACCCAGGTTGGTTGTGTGTGTGTGTGTGTTTATATATGGGATCGGATTTCCCTACATTTTTTCAACCGATTTCAACAAAACTTCACTTTTTTTGGCAGGTAGTGTTTCTTATTGTCTTGCACACTTTTTCCCTTATTTTTACATTCAGAATGCTTTAAAAATTCCATTTACAAGACAATTGTTTATAATAAAATTCTATTCAATCGGTAGACTCATAACGATTGAAAACATTGAAAACAATGTTTTTGTTTGAATTTCACCAATTCGTAAAAACAAAAAACAAAAAAAACTAATTAAGACATGCGTGTCCATCAACCTTAAACAATAATCTTTGTCAATTTTATTTTTCAGTTTTTATGATGGTCGATACTTGATCTATCTCTTACTGTTACATCCCCGGGCTCTACTGCTAGTTTTTCTATAAATGCGTGTTGTTAGTATTTTTTTTTTTTTTTATAAAAATGCATTGCTGGAATTTTTACTATAACAATATATCTTTATATTTTCATAGTGTTTTGTTTTTGCTTGGCGATTTACTATTTGTTCATAGCTGGGGCCCTAAGAAGTGCTGCTACCCCGGGTCAGGGTGGAACTTGGAACAACAATCAAAAAGTGGTTCTACGCTTCACAACCTTCATTGTTTTTAATTTATCGTCATACCAAGCACTTATTAAAAGAACAAAGCTTCGTGGAGAATTTGTGCTTGACTAAAGACTGAAAATAGGTGTAGCAGCTTACTGGTGTTACTGCCATCTGAACGTGAAAATTGTTAGCAACACACTCTTTTCTCTGGTGCAACAATGACTAAACATTTATCGAGATATCTGAGGCTATGACAGAGTGATTATTTTCTATTCGGTTAACGTGTGCTATTCATTTAATTGTTGTCGTTTTGGAAGTTTTCTAGTGATGTGATTTTGTTATTTTGGTAAAGTTCCTCGTCTGCGATTCGTTAGCGTCAGACAATAATCTGATAAAGAAGAGTTTTCTGGAGGACTTAAAGGATTAATTCGCTTGAAGCCATTTTTAAACATAGATCTTATAATTTAGGCATTTCTGGTCAACTTGGACATTATGCATATTATCCATATGTTAGTCTAGATTTGATGAGCCTATTTAAGAAAATCACTAAATTTCTTAAATAGACAGATCGATATATAACTATGAATAAAATTAGAATTATATTTAGATAGATATTGATTTAGTAAGTGAAGATCATATAGGGCACAAGGCCGAAAATCTGGAGCACCCACTGAGAACCGAACTTCCTATTTAGTTGTATCACACCATGTCGAAGTCCTCAGAGAGACAGAGAGAGAGAGAAATGATCAGGCTTAGGTAGATAGACAGGAACAAACTGAGATAGATAGATAGATAGATAGATAGATAGATAGATAGATAGATAAACCAAGAGACATGATTAGACTGAGATAGATAGATAGATAGATAGATAGATAGATAGATAGATAGATAGATAGAAAGAAAGAAAGAGAAATAAAGAGAGAGATAATTGGACCGGGATACATAAAAAAAAATAATATGAACAGAATGAGATAGTATGAGCACGCACTTCTCTTGTTCATACGATCGATCTATCTATCTATCTATCTATCTATCTATCTATCTATCTCGATTTGTTTATCCTTATCTATCTATGTATCTTTCTGATCATATATCTCCTATTCTCGTTCCTATCTATCTCCCTCTCTCTCTCTCTATATATATATATGTATATATATATTAGTCTGTTCTTCTCTCTCTTTATCTCTCTATCTATCTCAGTTTAATAATCTCTCTATCTTTATTTCTCAATCTATCTATCTGATCATATATCTCCTTATCTCTTTCCTATCTATCTATCTATCTATCTATCTATCTATCTATCTATCTATCTCGATTTGTTTATCCTTATCTATGTATCTTTCTGATCATATATCTCCCATTCTCGTTCCTATCTCTCTCTCTCTCTCTCTCTATATATATATATATATATATATATATATATATATTAGTCTGATCATTTCTCTCTTTATCTCTCTCTATCTATCTCAGTTTAACAATCTCTCTCTCTTTATTTCTCAATCTATCTATCTATCTATCTGATCATATATCTCCTTATCTCTTTCCTTCCTATCTATCTATCTATCTATCTATCTATCTATCTATCTATCTCAGTCTAATCATGTCTCTCAGTTTATCTATCTATCTAAGTGAAGTGCGTAGTTCTAAATTTACTAGGAAAACTGGTGTATTTGAGGTAGAAGCGTAATTGTGTGAACCGTTAAACTCCCGAGCAAAATGCATGTTCTATGAGTGAACAAAGCTTTTACCAAACTTCTCCCCCCTTCCTTCCCACTCTTTCTAATCACTCATCTGATGCATGATGGTGTGATAGCAGGTGCGTCTTTCTCCGAGATGGGTTTGACTCGCTGGCGAGAGCAAACCTTTCTTTATCCACGCACGACGGCCTCATCGGACATTAGATATCATTAGTAATAATTCAAGGAATATCAACTACCATAGTAACAATATATGACGACGATTACCAGATATGGGGGAACCTGTTATCACATGACCTTTGAACCGGAATCATCTGAAAATTTGATAATTGCAGTACAAGACAAAGTCCTTGTCACCAATGCCACAAAAATACCACCTACAGAAAACACCAATCTCTATAAAATGTAGGCTTCGTTGTGAACACTCCTGAGTGTGATTCAACTAATCAGTGGTTGCAAAATGTTATCTCAATAAATAATATAAGATATGATAAGGTATGCTATTATGTACATTGATTATTGTATCAATAGTATAGATACCGAGTTTCAAAAAATTGGTACGAACTTGGATATTTGAAGAAGTTGGAAAATCCACAATATTCAATATGATTTTCACAGAGAGTTAATGCCGTAACCTATGAAAGGTTACAGAATAGAATAATCAAACGATGTTTGGTAATGAATGATAATACTTAGAACAAGAATATCATATATAATATTCGCCAGCTGCGCGTAGAAGAATTAATCAACTACTAGAATTGAGTTAAGTGAATTCCACAATGAATCTCCAACTGCAGACCAACATACAGTATTTACTACTGTATTTATGTAAATGGGGACATAACCGTTATCATCCGTAGGTATGCTACAACACTATCGCAGTTTCTTCATTATTTATCTATCTGTTGTAACCTAAGAAAGGTTACTGAATGGAATAATCAAACGATGGTTGGTAATGAACGATAATACTTAGGAGAGGAACAACACATATATGATTCTCCGCAGAAGAGGTATTCAACTGCTAGAAGTGAGTCATGAATTCCTCAATGAATCTCCAATTACAGGATATCTGGCACAAGGACGAATTTAATGTTTTGTTACCGAGTCCGTAGGCTCAGCCAAAAATCCTCCGTAGACCCCATATAAAACGGTGTTGGGTAGCTGTTTCGCGAGACGAGACACTGCCCTTCGATAAAGCCTCGTCTAGGGATCCTTTCTGCCTGGAGGTAGAGAGTTTGATCAGTACAACTGGAGACGTATCTCCAACTGCAGGATATCTACCAATTGCCCCAGGGTCAGATGTGGCTCAAGGCCGAATTTACTTCCCAGTAGACCCCAGATAAGACGGGACCGGGTAGCTGTTTCCTGACACGAGTCTCTGTCCTTCGACATAGCCTCGTCTAGGGATCCTTTCTGGCCAGAGGCAGAGAGTTTGATCAGTACAACTGGAGACGAATCTCCAACTGCTTGATATCTACCAACCGCCCAACTTGGTCAGATGTGGTATAAGGCCGTGTGTGATAAGGTATAACAATAGTAATAATACATCGTCTCAGATTTTATGAAAGTTTTCAAAATGAAGCGGATATTAACGAATCAATGTTGGTAACATTTTCAGGATATATTTATTTGATAAATAAGTTACGTGAATTTCAGATTATAATATCTGTTTTTATTAGAA